ACGTACGTTGCCGGAATCAATGATACTTCCCTTGGGAGCTGCAGAATTAAACAGAACAGTTACTCTTAGACTTTTCTATAAATATATCTACAGAATATTTCGATATATTTCAAATAACCTCTAAATTAGATTTATGTACTCCGCAATGGTGAAGTGAATAAAATGTCATATCGGAGTCAAACCTGCTATAGGTGGTTTCCACGTTACGTCATCGCCGCTATGCTGGTGGACGGTAAACAGAAGATCGCTCATTAGCTCGCTTTGTTTGTCCATCAGCATTTGTTCATTTCACCATTGTTATTTGTGTCTCCCGAGACAGCATGAAAACCACCTATACTGCGGGTAAAAATTCTATATCTACAAAATTCTGTGATATGACACATGAAAGACGTAGTGTCGATCAAAATTTACCCTTCTTGCTAGATTAACTTTTCTTTATTTAATAGGAGAGGATTAAGAGTGCATTTGATGAAGTTTTATTAGGGAACTTAAAGCAATAAGGACGACAATGGCAGTAAAAAACTTCACTAAACAGGCCGAATTTGTGTCCTCTCAAATTTTATCTTGTTTATTTCTCGTAAAAAATGCTGCTATATTCAGAAATGAAGACCTAGGAAGAAAATAAATTCGTCGTCGTGCGTTCACGCCATCCTCTATAAAAGGTCGCTTGAAAAAAGTGCCAAAAAGTATGATGCACGTGCAAAGTTGTTTCTGTTTTACACATAAAACCAATTGTTTTTCTGACGTTCCGACTGTCGTCTTTGTCGTGGTTGCTTAAGTTCCTCATTGATTGGAATCCAAGTAGGAACCCTCCCCTAAACCTCCCGCCACAGAGGTTCCCTTGAAAAGATAGCTTGTTGGAAACTGGGACTCAATATAACGTCACTGTCACGTTTTTTCGTTTTGGATAATACCACGCCCCACGAACTTTGCTCTCTCTCGAAGATGTTAAATGTTTTCTGATGTTGTTATTCTGAGAAGCTGATGTATTGCTAATCGATCTGAAGGTTTTGAATTATAATCTTGAAGATCACCTGAAGAAAGTCTACGATTGTGTTTGTTTTAATCATAGAGCGAAGGGAACGTCGAAAAGGGAGAAGAAAAATCTCCTCTGTGAGCTCATTAATGAGGCATGTCATAAGTTGTCACGTGACTGAATAATTGCCTGTGAGAGTCTTTAGCGGACTGGGGGGTGGTTTGATGAAACCCACTACACTTACTTGTTAGCCTCTTCTTCCTACACTTTGCAGCACACGTCTCGTAAACGAAACCCGCTGTCAACAGCGTGATAAAGGTTATCAACATTGGGCGAAGTACAGTCCAAAATCCAGGCGAGTTTCCATCTAGTAAAGTCACAACGCGGTCTGCGTCTTTGTCTGATATCTGGCGGCTCCTGGTTTCGGTCTAAAAGGAAGTTCAGATGGTAACGTATATTAAAGTGAAAAGCAATCTGTTTAATTTCTTTCTCTTAAACTTAAATCACTACTCGCAAGTCTTGAAGCTTCGAAACCGCGTATATTGAACGAATTCAGTGGATGCAAAGACGGCTGTCCGTGTGATAGTGTGTCTCCGCAGCCTCCTTTTTTACACCCTCGCCCCATGCCTTTTATTTTGCTACTATTTACCTTGAACATGACCAACCGGCAAAAGTATGACAGTTATCACATATTAAGGGGGGTGGATACCACCCTGTATGGCCCTAAACAATTAAAGGTTGTTTGCATTAAGCTAAAAGATCTACTCTTCAGTAGCTGCACACAGGAGCTAATTACTCCTGCTCTTCT